ATATCACATATTATATATTAACCACTCCCTCGCCCTCACAATCACTATTGCAGTTTGTTGCTCTCTGTTAGTCTCTTGGATGGACTCCCGCACATTGCCATTTCTTCTCCCAATACTACGCAAAGCAATCCATGGCTTTGACAAAGTTTGTACACAGTTCAAAAGAACAAAAAAATTGGCAAGACATATTTTCAACAGTACTTTCAAAACACATTTACTGGCGCTAACACAGACAATATGTTGCAAGTGTTTTCTGCAGTTGGATTGGAGTAATTCAAACCAATTGGCTCGCATCCATGGTTTCCATTGAAACACGCTAAGGGCGAATGTAACCCAAATTAGTCATCATTATGGCAAGGGCAACCCTTGGCCGTGTGCTTCTCACCCAACATGAAGAACAACCACATAACTTGTTTCCTTTTGTGACAAATGTGATTTAGTAATAGTGTCCAGTTGCAGGTTACTCATTACCTCCATGTTGCTTAGCAAGCACGCATCAATAGTTAAGCCATTTAATGCACAATTTATATTGCACAACATGTAGGCCTCATTCAATTATTTCCATGCTTGGTAAACTTGAGCGCCACCAAGAACAATAAGGGGTCAATACGTGTGACTTTTCAGGTTCTCCCCACTCACAGCCAACCCCTTAGTCTGCAATATTTGCATACCGGCCAACTGGCCACTAGGTCTACACGCTCCCTGCAAGCTACATCACCAACTTTGTACCCAAGACGCGGCTCGTGCATGCGCCTGATCAAGATGTTCGACACGAGCGCAACAAGTTGATTGGAGAAGTGCTTGAATGGGCGCCTCAATGCACAGCCTGCCACTTGGTGAAAACAGTACTCAGCAGCCATGCTCCTTGATTGAGTCTTTGTCGTCCACTTGTGTGCCGACCCGCCTTCCCACCACCCTTACCACCTTCCCGCCTTCCTGGCGTCCTGTCTCCCATCATGCTGCCCTCTGCCTTTCCGCATTCACTAGGAAAAAAAGGGCCAAATAACACTTTTAAAACACACATAAAACACATTTCATCATATTTTTGCACGCTAAGAACACAAAAATAACACAAACCTGTAAACTGCACGTTTGAACACGGGTTATTTGGCCCTTTGTTTCCTAGCGATTGCTTCTTCACTGCCTTCCAATCCACAGCTATCCGATTCAATTGAAAGTAGCGGGTCTGCTCATGTGTTTGAAGCTTGACCTTGCAGCTTTTGCAATCGAACGTCTGGTCTGAATTTCAAGTCAATCGGAGCAGAACTCGCTCCGGCACGCCAATTTGAAAATTTGTTGTCCGTGCCTGACATGCCTGGGACAACCTGTCCAGTGGCGCGGGAGGCTATTGTGGAGCGCGAACTGTGAATTTGGACACAAAACTTGGGTCACATCATTTGAGTGGCATATGCAAGTCGCGGTCAAAATCTAAGGTCAACCTGTGGAAAGGCCGCTCAGGGACGACAATCTGAAGTTGTGGGTTGCCCGTGGTGGGGGCGGCAGGAAAGAAGGGGGGGGGGGGGGCACGGTGACCTGATCGTGGAGCTAACCAGGCGCAAGTTCAGCCGTGCAGTGGATCGGTGATCAAGTGCTTGCTGCTGCAAAATATCACCTGCAAATCTGGTCTCAGAGCTGTAGACAGACAGCAAAGGGATGTGGCAGTCAGTAAGGCCGTTCTCAGGTGTTGAGAAGCAGGCCAGGCTATTGAAAGTGCAATTGTGAGCTCTGTCACATGGTGGATAAGCCCGTACTTCTTTGCAGTTGCTGAATACCCTCATCACACATTTTTTCACTGTGTTTCCTGAAAGACGCAATTTTTCTGGGTCTCTCGTTGTTTGTCAATATCGTCCTGGATCAGGAGGTGTCATGGGTTGCTGCACTGTGGCTAATTTTGGCATCAGTCGGACAACTTTCCTGAAATGAGCCTATCTGTGTGAGGAGCAGTGCTTGAACGGGGTTGGCCCACAGCCCTATCTGCGCCATGTCAGACAGGGCAGCGTTGCGCCATATGATTAAGACGCTAAGCAAGGTGGATGTGCATTGGCACCTGGCCTCAGCTCAACGACTGAAATGCTTCCTGACGTACATTCCCAAAATTCCTGAACGGATTGTACACGTCGGTATGGGTGTTAGATCTGCACACAGGCGTGAAGTGAGGGCTCACATGGCTGAGCCAAGCCTGTCAGTCGCGCACTGCAACAGGCATTGCTGTCAAGAACGTGCACACGCGTGGAGCGACCTACGGAGGAGGGCAGAACTTACAATGCTCGACTTGGGTGGCGTGATAGTGTTCCCCGTGCGCAAATTGCAGTATGTTAAAGGAACCGCACCATCATGCATAACACGATGGGCATGTCCTCTTCGAAGTAAGCCAGAGAAACGACCATAGCTAGGCGATTGGAGGGGTCGCCATCCCACGCGCCGGCGCTCACATGGCCAGGCGACACGGAGGCCAAGGCGTGGTTCACAGCACAGGTTGCTGCGCCCCCAACAGGCTGGGGTGCGCTTAAAATGATCAGCCACGTTCATGCCAATTTCTATCATCTGATACAATGTCCCATTTTCGACCTCTAAGGATTGTCATAATCACAAATGCCCATAAGACAATTCAACCCCGATGCCACCTCATCACTATGGTGCAGCCCACATCTGAAACATGCCACATCTTCCCTTTCACTCAGAATTCAAAACAACACAATTCTGACTACTCAGGTGCCGCATATGGTCATTTCCAAACGTCCCAACTGCAAAGTGCAAGTACAACAAATCTTGCAAGCCAAAGTGAAAGTGGAGGGCGGTCACAATGCTGTAAAGCTTCGGGAAACACACATCCGAAACTTCCCCACAACACACCCTTGCATCTTGCGGACAAGACACTGTGACCAAGGCATCTCTATGTGAATTGTAGGACATTCTTTCATCAAGCTCATGTTGTCCTCAACAAACATGAGTGTGATCGAAAACTACCTCAAAAGCCAAATTCCAAACCAAAATTCGATCACAGAAATGGCTATTCGGTACTTTCATAAAACATGCACCAATCTTCAAGCAAAGGAGTATGCATAGGCTAGAAGCTCAATGCTGCACCAGGGAAAGAGACATCCTGTGTGCCCCTCCAAGGAAAGTAACATCTTGGTGGGAGTAACCTTTGCAAGTTTCATAGCACCATTGTTCTGCAACCATAGTCTTTTTTTCTTTCAATCTCAAGCAGCGATTCACGTTTTGACATTCACACTAATCGCAAGCCATCAAGCATAAGTGATCCACCCAGTGAAACGGTGGTCATTATGCGTAGACGCGAACAAGTACTTAATCATTGGAATCGCATAGAGAGCTCAGATCCGGTTCGGCCACCGGAAATACGGTTTCAAACGCCACTCCAGCAACTAACTTTGATTTCGAGCTTACAGAGCTCAATATCCATTTGATCTAAAGTTAATTCATGCGCAAATGGAAAAAGATATCTTGTTGCACAGCCATTGGTGTTAGTGTGTTCTTCTGGATCTGTAACATCCATGCGCAAGCCCATTATGAGCCGGGGAAGCGTCAGCCGGCGTAGATCCTGTCGAGCAGAAATCGGATCATACGCTTTGGATTGCTTTAGGGCTGTTTCGGTCGGACGATGGTGAGCTGGGTTTGAGAGGTCCTGGTTGCCGCTGACTGAGCGCCGATCAATATGTTTGCGCCAGCTTATTTTATATTTTGGCCATCATTGGGCAAGCGCATGAATGATCTTTACCACGGAATTCCCTATCCCGTGCCTCGAACAGGGGCAGCGCAAAGTCTGGCTTTGACGCTAGCAAAACGAGGCCAACGGCACTTCGCTTGGATGCTTGCTGTTTCGCAAACAGTCGCAGCATGGCGCGGCACGATAAGAGCATGGGACCCGGTCTCGGTTATCAGACCCAGAGTGGTGTGCATTTATTGGCACTTTGCCACCGGTAACCAAACATTTCCCGAGAACCGTTGCCAATCGTCACCCTCTTCGAGTTCACCGCAGCCCAAATTGTCAGAGTCCACGGGATTGAGTTCCGTGGCGTTCCCATCCTGCAGCTCCGCGTGCGATCGCCCTCACCGCTACCGCCTTTGCCAGAAGCTCATACACACTCTGGGAAATCGGACAGGGACGTGGAAACCCGAGACGCCCACGACACACTGGCAAGCGGGGGTTCCAGCGAGCTGAGCGTTACAGGAACCACAGAGACTGCGCGCAGCAGTCAAAAACCTTTCTTCACGAACACTAATTATTTCCCCGCTGAAATAGCGAACACTGCCGGGCAGTAGGCGCTCCGTTCGTGTTATATATAGACGGTCTACCGCGGCATGCTGCTGTTCCGACAGCGAAAAACTGTCCATGCGAGCGCCACCTCCCGACGATGCGCTTAGGAGCTGGCGGGGCACGTGCACTTGGACTTCCTGGAGCAGGCGTTAGCAATGCACTTCCAGATCAATTGATCGCCCTCCCAGAAGAGCTTGTAGTTGCAGTCGTCGCCCCTGCGCAGGTAAGCACACAGTTTAGCGTTTGCCCACAAATGCGCAGATACACATCTCCGACTTTCCGTCAGAACATCCGCAGACGCTGCCCATCTGTTTGGCATCTTTTAGAGAGCCACGAAGTCTGCAGTATTTCTTCTGCCAATCTTCGGAACCTCTGCCACACGACGCGAAACAATTCACTGGCGGCAGCAACAGATCCTTACCTACATTTGCGAGACCTGGCCAGGGACGCACAGTGAGACTGAGGGCGCGGGACCCTCATTCACATCGGCAGTACTGAATATGAGCAATTCCCAAGGAGCTTTGCGCTGTTCTGATATCCAGTCATCTGAGAACTCTAAAGAGAGACGACTTGGCATGCCTGGAGAACTGGACCACGCTCCCTCATGCCAAAGCACCAACTGCTAAGTATAGACACAACGTAAAAACTGAATATTTCTGAGACAGGAAACGACGCGCACGAACTGCTCTTTGCGAGCTGCGTTGCAGATACTTACACGCACTGACACTTCCCAGACTCCATAACTTCGACCCCGCAGCACTGATCAGCCATGTCGGCGTCGCAGTCGGTGTCGTACACGCAGGAAACCAGCTCGGGGCTTGCAGCGATGGATTTCACAAAGGCCTTGTCGTTGAACTTGGCCGCCGCCAGCTCCTCAGCGGCTGCAGATAGACAGCCGGCATCACATCAAACGAATGGGCAACAGTTTTCATGCTTTGCATTCAATCACAATGTTGAGTTTGGCCGCTCACAGCCGCTTTAGAGTACTGAAATACGCAGGTCTTAAATGTCTCGATTTGAACAAGTAGATGTTCCGCCAAATCGCCGCCACCCGCAGTAACCGTGAACTGCAAGCGTGACAGTGTTTCCCACACTTGCAAGGAAAGCAGCATCCGAAGCAGAAGAGGGCGGCCTATATTGGAATCCACAACGCCCTCTGCTGAGAAAGCGGAAGAAAGCCATGCAAGGTTCTTGTGCATAGCAGAGGCAGGCGCCCATGCTTGATGAATCAGGCGCAATGAGGAGTCCAGGCGCATGCAGAATACAACATCAATCAAGCTCAAATGGTCGCTCTTGCAGAACACTGCAAACAGGCACCACATTGCACCTGTCCAATCAGTCCATTCCATTTCAGCAGCAACATGTCAAAACCTGTTTTGAGCTGGCTCGCAAGCCAGCGGACATCAACTGGTAACAGGAAACCGCATTGGTGAGAAGGCAATATTGGCGACGGCAGTCAATCCGTATGGCCGTCATGCAATCCTTCGGATCAGATGCCCTTCACTCACCCACGCAGTAAGGCTGCACGAATTCGCAGCCCTCGGTCTCGTAGGCCTTGATGATGACTCCGCCAAAGTAGCTGGCAGCTGGGCCAGGCCGGCGGACAGCGGACACGATGATGGGGGCGACGTAGGTGTAGTTGTCGGGGTACTCGCGGAGGAGATCAGCAAATGCGACGGCGCAAGCTGCATCGGTGGACAACGCAGCAATTCAAGCGAAGAATCGCCAACCACATGCAAAATGTGGTGCGCATCACAGGAAAATGAGAACGACAAAGATACATGTGACGACATATGTTCAAGATATTATTGGTATGCAAAAGATATGCCAGGTAAAATGCTACTCACACATTAGAGTGGTTTTGATCCAAGGAAAACTGGAGTAAACAGGACAGGCGTTGCCTATCACTGTGAGAGCAGTGCACTTGCAGCAGTCAGGAAATCGGCCAATGAGCACCGTAAAAACAGCAGCAAATATGACAGGGCCATCGTTCATGTCGATGAAAGGCAATTTACCAAGGAGCATTCCCAAAGCACTTTAGAAGCAGTGAACCACCAGAGTTGACATGAATTGCCACTCGTTACTCTTGGAGCGAACAGTGCAATTGGCTGCCACCGCCTTGTGAACAAGAATGTGAAAGCCATAAACATCACGGTGCAATGCAGACCTTAGCAAACCGCAGATGACCCATACAGATTAATCTCAACAATCGACCTTGGGAGTCCTTGACAAGTGGCTCTATTGTCTCAATACGATCAGAGAAAGCAGCTGCCTTCCTCACCATCAGTGGCATATGCGCCCATCTCCTCAGACTCCTGATAAGCCTTCCACAGGGTGAGGGCAAGGACGTTGCCATCATAGGTCCTGAAGCCTTCGCCCCAGACCTTGACGGCCAAAACCTTGTCACCAGCTGCAACACAGTTTGCCAAACAATCAGTGCCTTAATGTGTTTCCCCTCATGCGCAGGCTACGGCAACAGGGGCAGAAACAGCGAGCGACAATAACCCAGCGTGAAAGGAATTCCAAGCCCCCTTGAGTCAAGCTTGCTGAATTGATGGGCAAAATGTCTTCTATGCTTCACAAATACCATCATCAAGGATTGAGCGTTCACCAACAACATATGCCAGGTGTCCTCACAGACAAAGTTCGAATTCGCTTTTCAATCCCGGGAAAGCGCAGCACAACGTGCGCTGAAGGACAACGTGCACTGAAGGAAGCAGCGCATGAAAGATGCAACTTGTTATTTTGATGAGATTCGAGGTTTTGCATTTAACTGGAGATGCGCATCGGCTTCGAACCAAGAAATGACGGTCTGAACGCCTGGTGCTCTGCCTAGTCTCGCGAGGTATACTTGGACATAAAGAACTACGGATCCGAAGGCCAGCAAAGGCGCATCAAGGGCCCCTATTTCGCGCGCGCACCCTCTTCAGACGTCGCTGAAAGGCGAACCCTGCATTGCATCCTTGCCCATTCTGCGTCATCAGTCAGTGCAGACTAAACATTGCCCTGCACACTACCCTCCGCGGACCAGCACGCGACCCGCCAACGTTGACGGACGCAACACCTCACACGACCTAACTACCGCCTGTACATTACCAACCACCCATGTTCAACCAGGCATCTTCAACCATCTATGTTTACCACCTATCAACCATCCGCATCCAGCAAGATCCAGGGCAAGCAGAAAGGGTCAAGCTTCACACTCACATGCGCCCAGGAGCAGGTCGTACACGACCACCGCGCCATCCTCGGCCTCCAGGTCCACCACGCCCTTAACGTACGCGCCGTTGGAGGCGTGAGACTTGACGGAGGCGATCGCGCTGGCGCCATCCTTGGCCGTGGTCGACACATCGGAGTAGGCCGTGCTACCGTCGGTGGCGATCGACTCGGCGTTGGAGCTGGCCACGCCCGTGCCGTCAGAAGTCGCGTCCGCGTTGGCCACGGCGTTCGAGTTGGGGCCTGCGACGGCGACGGCAGTGGCCGATGCCTGCTGCTGGAGGCGCCTGCCTGTGGTTCAGCGAAGGCAAAATTGAGGCTTCAGACAAGCAAAAACGCAGCAGCACAGAGTTTAGGTGACCACAATAGTTCCACGAAAACACCCGACCTCATTCATATCCTACTTTAACCAGCAGCAGGAGCCGACGAACCCCGTGGCGGTCGCCTGACTGAGGCGCCGCCCTGTGATTCAGAGCCCGCAAAACAGAGCTTTCAGGCAAGCAAATTCAGGGTGAAAAGGCGTTCTAGGTGCAGCTAATAGCTCCATGAGAACAACGGACAGCCCTCCTATCCCGCTCGAACCGTCGGAGACGGCGACGGGCTCAGCCGTTGCCCGCCAGAGGCGCCGGCCTGTGGCTCAGGAACGGCAGAACAGGGTCTCCGGACAAGCAATGGGAATGGAAAGGAGTATAAAGAAAGCAGAGTGGCACTAAAACAAGCCGCCGCGTTCATACCGCGGTCCAACCGGCGGCAGGAGACAGCGACCGGCTTGACCGTTGCCCGCCAGAGGCGCCGGCTTGTGGTTCAGGGATGGCTGAACAGGAGATTCAGACAAGCACATTCAGAGTGACGAAGGAGTTTTGTGAGCAGCTATTTCCGTGAAGCACCCGACCGCCCTCCCACCCTGCTCCAACTAGGGGAAGATCCCGTGCGCGGGGAGTGGGGCCAGGCCGGAGACCAGACGGTACAAGGTGGCCATCAGCAACCCTTCATCAGACGCTCACCGCCGGCACTGGCGAGGGGCGAGGAAGCAACCACCACGAGCGCCAACAGCGCGAGCGCCAACAGACGATCCATCTTCGGCCGCTCTCCCTGTCGACAAGCATGCAAGACTCGGAACTCACTACTACCACAGTAACGGTCGATTAATCCGGCGAACCGCGTAGTAAGGCACCGATTGCGGCTCGACAAAGTCTTTTTCGGACAGCGCACAGGCTACCCGTGGCTCCGAGGGTGGCGCACAGGCGCCATCCTCGCCTGGATGCCGGCCAAGGAGCACCCACGCCGCATGGCTCACGGCCCGCACCGGGCCGCATCGGCGCTTGATTCGGCTCGATGGCCGGCAAGGTGGGAGTTATGCTTTCAATCCAAGAACGTGCTGAGGAGGGGGCTGCCTGAGCAGGTTGAAAAGCGGACAGCTGAGATGGGACTGAGGGACAGCCGGGCGATTAGCGGGACGCAGGGACCTCGGCGCCCGCCGTGGCCCAAAAAGGGTCATCGAGCGCCTCGGCGCGTCCGGTAAGGCGCCAGCGCTCCCGGGAAGCTTTGCTTGGACTCGTCCGTCCCGCTCGGCGGGCTGCGCCGCGGGGATGCAGCGAAAGCGAGATGAGCGGATGAACATCGTCGGGGACGGGGCGGGGCGTGAGCGGAGCGGGGTGGGTCACCTTCAAGCCCGGGAACTAACTCCACCGAGCCGCTTCTGTGACTGCACGGAGACCACGCAGCCGCGCTCGCCGCTCTCCTCTAACTCTGTGTGCGCTGGCTCGCCCACGGCAAGGATACGGCCACCCTCCGCAAGGAAAACCAGTGCTGGGTGGGAGGTCCAGCCTGCTGTGCCAACCCTTGTCAAATGCCTCAGCCCCCGGCGCATTACCGGCCAAGGTACCGGTGGCTCTCACGTCTGCCTGATCCGGGGCACATCAGGCCAGAACCTCGGAAGCGTCGGTCGAAAATTCGCCCAGAAGCCGGAAGGGAGCATTTGGCCGCTATGCCTTCTTCAGATCACGGGCCCGTACTTCAGGCCGCCTGGGGCATCAAGCGGCTCGTAACCGCATGTCCGCTCGCAACCCCCTCCCAGCCCAACAACGCCTCGTCCCCACACACACACACACAGGGGTGCGGCGTCAGCCTGCAGAAGGACGTGCTCAAGCACTGGACTGTTCAAAATCACATCGGTCCCGGAGCCCGTCAGCACACGCTGGGGACTGCCGTCAATCTGTCATGCTTGTGCAGCATACCTACCGACTAGACGATGGCCCCGGAGGCCAAGATCCTTGGGGACGGCTGACTGTGCATGGCGGTGGCCGGAGAGGTTGGCCTGGTGGCCCGGTTGGGGCCTTGGACTTTGAGACAGATTTCTTCTGGGTGGGTTTGCTTCGGCGGGAGTGCCTTTTGTGTGAGGATGGCATGTTCTGGATGCAGCTCACTGCCATTTTCCCACTGCCCCGCTGCGAGGGCAGGGCTGTCCTTATGTGCTATGCCACGCACACCAGTGCCAACCACGCCCCGTCCGCTTCATGATTTTTGAACGTAGATATACCAGCTGAGAAAACAGTGTAAATGCTACTACGCGGGAATTGACGCAATCACAATGTGGTAGAGTGCACACATTACCATTAATGCGTGTACAGCTCCAACATTACTACCGGGTCAGGAGAATTGCAGGTGTCTTCAAAATCACATAGAACATAGCAAAAACAGAAGGTCTTGGGTGTCAAGCAGACTCCAGATTTCACAATTGTCTGGGGATCGCAAACATCGCCATCCACCCTTACTTTGGAGGCCATGCACTAGTAAAAAAAGGACCAAATAACACGTTCTGCGAAGACATATGTATGCATTTCATCAGTGTCCTGCACGCTGAAAACACGAAATAACAAACCCGTGAATTTTGTACACGTTTGAACACGCGTTATTTGGCCCTTTTTTTCTTAGTGATGCCAGGCGTGCAGCACTATCCTCAAAACCTGAATATTGCCCATTGGCGATGCACAATGAATTGCACAGAATGCGGAAATATTGCGTTGACTAAACAATGAACCAAAAGACATATTACTGCATTTACCTGTATTAGTACACATATAGTGGACCCACAAACTGAGCGGTGGGTAGTAATAGTGAGTCACGGTCCAGCCCCTTGATTCGAGGCGTGCACAAATTTTTTTTTGGAAAATTAAGCCCGTAATGGCCGAAAACGGCTTGAAATAATGCAAAATGCATTGAAAAGAAATGCGTGCGGCTGACAGTCTATGTTGCACACATTTGAAGTCGCGGAATGCACTTTCAGTCGCTGCTGCACTGTTGGGTGCTGCTGGAGCCAGCGCGGCCGCGGCGGAGATGTGCGCCATTGCGAAAATTGCGACTGTAACAGGCAACGCCGGCACGTTTGCGGACGACTCCTGGCTGTCGCTCTGCCGCGGACGCATGGCCTGCAGTCGCTCGACAAGCAAACAGCCTCTTTTCCACCAATCAAACTAGCTGCCAAGTGTCAATGAAAACTGCTCATTCAATTTTTTGAATGATGATGGGGAATCTTTTGGAGATTTCCAGAACCTGTTGCAAGACCATGCACTTGTAAGAAATGCCAATCTGTTACAGTTTTATGCTCCTATTAAAGCAGCATTCGGTTTGGAGATTCGCGCTTTATTCTTTTAGGGCAAGCCGGTGTTTTTAGCGCATGCCTATTGTGTAATTTGACGTTGTCTGTTTGGCACCAGCGCGATTTTCATCAGTAGTACCATGGCGTGGATTGTTGCAATAATGTTCTGGGAAATCTCACAGTTGGGCTCGATTCAACTCATTCAAGGGACAGATATTCACGCATAGGTTGTGTTTGTTCATACTGAGCACTGAATGCGTCAATCAATCTCCCTGAAACGAATTCTATTCTGATGGCGTTCGAGTGCCATTTTGTTTATCCGGGATTTCGCGATTTGGGGTGCGTCAACTGGACTGATGTGGGTGCTCTTGTTCGGTTTTCAGGGGCAAAGAAGAAGACTGTCCGTACAAATGCGGTCCTCCAAGACCATCACACACATTTAGTTCCAGACAGGGAGAGCATTCGGCCACCCGGAAAAGGGAATGGCTGGGGTGAAATGCTTTGGAAATCTCCAGGGCTCTCATTGGACATCGCCAAAACATTCCGCTTCGTGCAGTCCTATTATAAGGCACTATTGCCGGTCATGTAGCAGGATTTATCCAAGTGTCGAAGTCATGCTATGCCATTCTTGTAGTGCTGACTCATTATTTTAACTCATAATATTCCTGCAGTGCTATGTGCAACCAGGTGCGCAGCATTAAAGGGATGGAAACTGGAAGCAAAGAAGGTGGTTGCAATGGGCACTGACGTGCAGCGTGTGCAGCACACTGAATCGAACCAACTAACGAACTGTGGAAGAGAAGTTTTACCGTTTCTTCGTCATTCTGCTATAGTTCGGCTAGAAGTTTGGTCGAGGGTATGGGGCAGGGGTGGGTGACAACCCCCATGCAAATGTCCGTTTCTGCTCGGCGGGGTCCTCTTCCCGCCTGACATGCACACTACCCAATTGAATTAGTCATCAAGTTCTTCTGTGTTTTTCTCACAATGTGGCATTGTGATGGTCAGCTCGTGCGCAGCCCATGACCGCAACACACAACTTGCCCTCAGCCTCACGATACAAACCAAAGCACTAACCCGAGCTCGAAACCTCGAAACCGAGTTCAATCTCCAAGGGAACGGCGGGGTGGTGCACAACAAGACAGGTGGCGGTCTTTGGGCGTGCTTCAAGTGGGAAGCTTCCCGAGAAAGCCCACCAAGGCGGCCATTCAAAATTCAGGCCTTGGCTCTATTCGAAACTCGTGCCAATATTCCAACTGGTCGCTTGGCGCACGTTCACACGCCACCCAATGGACAAACGGGTGCAGACTGCCGAGGGTGCCGCCTGCCACAACCCCGCCTGGCTGCCAGCACCGCCCAGAGCCCCAGTCCCACCCCAAAATCTCCACATCTTCCCAATCAGATACGCATTCACTGGCGCTTACTGAGACGGTATGTGATAACTTAATATACAGTGCTTTGTTTGGGCGAAGTATGGAGCCCAAGGCTGCTTCCTCGCCTCGATTTGCAAGACTTCCTGATGACGAATACGTAATCTCCAATCACACCCCCGCGACAACCTCAAAGCTCCACCGGCCCCCCCCACCTCGTTTTCCCCTCCGCCCCTCGAAACCTCGATCAAAGCCTGAAGGGCACAAAGTAACCCCAGCCGCAAACGCATCAACCAATCATTGACGGGGTGGCGCGGGACCGCCCA